TCGGCGAGCTAAGACGCTTGGTTTAGCTCTACGTTCGGCGAGCTAAGTCAGCTTGGTTTAGCTCTACGATCGGCGAGCTAAGCCAGCTTGGTTTAGCTTTACGTTCGGCGAGCTAAGCCAGCTTGGTCTAGCTCTACGTTCGGCGAGCTAAGACGCTTGGTTTATCTCTACGTTCGGCGAGCTAAGCCAGCTTGGTTTAGCTCTATGTTCGGCGAGCTAAGCCAGCTTGGTTTAGCTCTACGTTCGGCAAGCTAAGCCAGCTTAGTTTAGCTCTACGTTCGGCGAGCTAAGACGCTTGGTTTAGCTCTACGTTCGGCGAGCTAAGCCAACTTGTTTAGCTCTACGTTCGGTGAGCTAAGACGCTTGGTTTAGCTCTACGTTCGGCGAGCCAAGACGCTTGGTTTAGCTCTATGTTTGGAGAGCTAAGCCAGCTTGGTTTAGCTCTACGTTCGGCGAGCTAAGCCAGCTTGGTTTAGCTCTATGTTCGGCGAGCTAAGCCAGCTTGGTCTAGCTCTATGTTTGGCGAGCTAAGACGCTTGGTTTAGCTCTACGTTTGGCGAGGTAAGCCAGTTTGGTTTAGCTCTACGTTCGGCGAGCTAAGCCAGCTTGGCGCGGGTGATCTCGATATGTCGAGTTGACTTGTTTTCGTCGTAGAATCTCAACGGAAAGTCCGATTGAGACGAAACGAAAAACTGTACGATCGAGATTGGAATAGGATCAGGCTTCGGATCCCGAGAATCGTTTCCAACTCGCCATTGGGAGAGCTGGTCAAACCTTCACACGTTCAGATTTCTCCGATTTGGTTACGGGGTTTGATTAGTTCTATCGTTGCCTTTTTGTTTAGACGGATAAATCACGAGCTCGTTTCGTGCTCTTTCCGTGGTGAAGAGTCGCGATTAAGTTTTCGATTTTATTAATTACTACAGCGTTTGCGTGAGCGTTGGCTATAGGAGCAGTCGCTGCTAGAGTTGTTTTACTAGCGTTTGCGAGTTGCGACCTTGTCTTTCATATATCCAGACATCGTTTTGATCAAGCGTTTTGTGGCTATGAGTAAGAGTAATCCGACCCCCCCTCCTTCTAGCGCCAAACTGTGGGAACCGAAATTCATCCCTGTCGATTTCCGTTAAATAAGGAAATTTAGGAAAACCCTAATTTTCCAGAGGAACTGGATCTCTGCGAAGCCAACGACAAGTAACCAAATAAATGCGAAAAAATATGAAAACGTAATAAAACGAATTTATAGATAAAATAGATCTTATTTCGATTTCGCGTAAGAGCGTTGCGATCATTACAAGGCTTTACAAAGGCTTTGGCCGCAGGGCCGTCAGCGAGTTATCGACATAAAAACCTTAAACCTAATTGAGTCGCAGCTTGATAACAAAAGACGGAAAAAGATAAGAAAAAGGATTTGATTGATTTCAGACTGAACCTTATGAAAGGCTGCCTACATACCCCTTTCGAGGATCAAGTCGAACGTAGTTCAGTTGATAGAGCTGGACCAGAGATCAAACTGCCTGGGTGAGTTCATCTAGTAATTGAGCACCAGTCATAGAAACCAAACTTGTCAAGAAAAAAGCCTAAGTTTCTAAATGCGGAAAATTCTAAGTCTAGAAAAGTTGTAAAAGTTACAGATGAGTGCTCTAATTTTTGTCCCCTTACTTCTGCACTATGCCTCTTGCTTATATACTCCCTTCCTTGGCGGTATGGTCCTTCTAGTTCGTCCAGATTCGAGTTTATCAGGAATTTTCCATTTATCTCGACCTTTCTTTTTTTCCCGCGGAAATCTTCTATTTATCTTCAAACTTGCCATTATCCTTCAAACTTGACATTTTTCGAAAAGAAGAACTCGTTCATCCACCAGTTCTGATTGCCACAGCTCCAGAGGAGCGAATTCTCGACCTCAGATTGTAGTTCCGAAGGAGGAAAACTTTTTTCCATCAATCGAACCGAAGGACCATGAGGCGTATTGGGCGATAGGAGGTGGGTCAAGTTCCGCTGGACCCGGGACCTGGGTCCCATCTTTGTTCGATGCCAACCAAGCTCCCGAATGTCCGAGTTCGTCCCTTCCCAATGGTCTTGACTTTATTATGGAGTTTTGCCGAGTTCCGGAGGCAGTCGAGTTTCGCCTCCCGCTTGCCGGAGAGAGTGACAAGGCTGCGCCTGATGGGTTTTTTTACGTGCTACGACGTTTTTCTAATGCAGTGTCATTTATGGTTTCCGATTCCAGAAATCATCGTTCGATATCTTCATAGGCTCGGACTGTCGATCAGCCAGTTGAACCCACGCGGTTTGCAACAACCCGTCTGTCTCTTGACGCTAAGTTACGAGAGAGGAATAACCCTCAGTGTTGATCATCTCGAAGGTTTACTGAGGCCTGAAGAGACGACACTGAGAGTTAACTTATGTCCTCGCACGGAGATAGTCACTGGTTGCATGTCGAAGTATCCTTCTTGGAAGAAAAACTTATTCTACGTTCGTATTGATGGTGCATCAGTCGAGGAGAGCTGCATTCCCTTTTTCGTGACCACATGGGTCAGAAAGGTATGTGATCCGAAGGCGTATGATTTGCTTTGCCCCCCCCCCCTTTTTTTTTTTACTTATCTGCTTTTGTTTTCTGTAGAAACCAACCCTTTACCCTCGCATCCAGTGGATCTTTTGATTGTCACTGATTTTCTTCAAGGTGGGGAAGTTATATGGGGTAGCTTTTCTCCGCAGCTTTTTCGCCATGCGGTTACTCTTTTTCAATCTCGGCTTTTTGTGGATTCTCCGATTTGTGAAGAGGATCCACGCATAGGAGAATTTATCCCATACGTGCCTTCGACGAGGAGTGATAGGTCGAGATCTCGGAAAGACAAACACTTGGTCATTGATGATGATGCATCTGATCGTGCTGCCTCCCCTGACAACATTCTCAAGGATTTCCTCGATAGTCAGGCGAATGGAGGCGCTTGGGCAAATGCAGGAGGCTCATCGACCTCTAACTTCCCGGGTGGCGACCCTGACCATGTTCCGGAGTTTGCCAGAGGATCCAAGCAAGCCAACGAGGGTTGTTTTATTTAAACAACTTATGATCGGATAGTTTTGCTTATCTTTTCTGACCATGAGCCGAGCTCTAAATGACCGCAGTACCGAAGCTCGTCTTGCTGAGTTTCGCGCGGATATGGCGGAAAAAGAAGTTGTTTGTCTTCGTATGGAGATTGAGGCCAACCAAACTGGAGAAGCGGTTGAGAGAGAGATAGGTCGTGTAAGGAGCGAGTGCGCGATTAAAGCTCGCCGCACCAAGGAGCTTTCTGATCAGAGAATTCGTCGCGCTCGTTGTGCAGGCAAAAGGGAGGTTGCTGAAGAAATGATGATCCGTCATGAGCGGTTTGCGACTGGTCACTCAAATGTCGAGGTCGCAAAACGGGCCAACGGTGATTACCTCGAGTGTCGCGGTGTTGTTCATGGGTTGTCTCTTACTCAGAACGTGGGTTACTCGTATGCTAAAGAGTATTCCGTGCAATTGGAGCGTTTGGATCAAAGGAGAGACATGCCGGCCGAACTATTTGATCTTAGGGCACGTATGTGGGAGCAGTGGAACCCTATCGTGGTATCGCCGGATTCAGTTGAAGTCGGGCCTGAGATTCCGGACGCGAGTGGCGAAGTCGATCAACCGTGGTTTGATACTAATGTTGGCCAAAGCTCGGCGTCCGTGTTTGATGATTTCGATGTATGATGTTATTTTTCTGATTTTTTGTTTTTCTGGGACTGGCCGTTGGTGGCTTTGAATCCCTGCCGCTGGGCGGCGTGTATCTGAATAAAAACTTTTACTAAAAAATATTTTTCAAGTATGAAATCTGTGTTTCGTTTGAGATGTAGAGGGAAGAGTACGAGTTGTCGTCTCGCATCTAACTCTTGGTGTAGATCGTCCAGTTCGTTTACTCGGAATGTTTCGATTTTCGCGAGTGTTTAGATTTGGGCGAAGAGACATGCCTTTAGGATCTCGATTCATGCCTTGAGACGTTGGAGACCAGTGTGCTGGGTTTAGGGCAAGACCTAGGTTTACTTTCGGATTGAGGCTATGCGATGACTAGTCGGCTTTCGTTTTGCCTGTTGCGATTTTAACCTGATTCCATACCGATTTAGAATCCGCGATAGGTTCTCGGCTTATATGATTCGTCTGGTTGGAATCGAGCATCTCACCGGAAACAATTTCTAAGTTGCCCGGAAGTGCTGACCAAAAATTTGGATTTCTTTTATAGCGCGCTATTTTATCCTAGTCGGATGTATGTGGACCAATAGGTCGGTGTGTTTTTTTAGGACAGCTAGCGTGCTCAATGGGGCCAATCGCCGAGCGTTTGTATTTTTATAGTCGCGGACGGACTTTTCTGAAATATTTTTCTTTAAGACTTTAGGCGACGTCTCGCCGGTTTTTTCCGAAAATATTTTGGTGTACAAGTTTCGTTGAAATGATTTAGTAGTTGTTACTGCGGAAGTGATTTCCGGATGTTTTGAATTTTCTTTTGCGTTTTCGATAATAGATTTTATAATAATCTAACTTTGCCTTTATTAAAAAGTTTCGAAAATTTCGATTACAAAGCAAATCATATATATAATATATAATGAGGGAGTTTTTGCTTCTCCCTCAAGAAGCTACATCAGCAATCCTTACCTGTGTGGGCCCCACTAAAACCCGGGTGAAATCAATTTTAAAGCCATTTGTTTGGTTTGAATAAAACACAGCGTTTAATGGAGAGAAGGAGATTATTTTGATAATATTGTTTTCACCGCCGTCTCTCTGCAACGCGACTCCCTTCTCCGTTTAATATCTTGAACTCCTTAATCTATCAAACGAACCCCTTATTGATTTCTTCCTCGCATCTCCTCACTTCTCCAATCTTTATTATTCCCATTAAAGCTTCAGCCAATGTCAACCACTTCATCTCCTCCATGTAAAGTCTATAAATTAGCAAAGGATTGGGAGGATTTTGCATCTTGAAAACCACTAAACATCTTCGATAATGGCTTCCCCTGATGCTGTCGTTTCGCACGCTGCCTTCGATGCTCTCCAAATCGGTCTTCCCAGTTCGTCGTGGCTAGGGTTCTGCGTTTTTGGGACTCCAAAAACATCAAGAAGCAAGGCGAGTTTATGGGGATCACGCTTCTTCTACTTGATGAAAAGGTATTGCAAACAAGTTTCAACGCCTAAATTTTATGTAGTTAGTGGAACTATTTTATTTTCCTATAAGAATCCATGATTTAAACTCAAATTTTTTTTACAGGACTCTGTGATTCTTGTGTTCATCCCTGCTGTTCGGGCCAGTTTCTACCGGTCATCCTTGCTTGACTAAGGAAGGTTTCACGGTTCGAAGTCCTTCCCCATACCACCATGGATGAAGTCCTCGACATAGTCCCCGTGATCAACAAACAAAAACTCATGCTGAGACAGTATGATCATCTGCAGGCTCTAGCCAACACTAACTTGGAACTTCCAGGTGTGTCCCCTGCTAAAGTTTGATGATTTGTAGTGTAGATGTATATATATATATATATGAATGGCTGTTGAAATCTTGAATCACGTGTCCCATTGCAGATGTTGGGCAGATTCATTCAGTCCAAAGGGTCTGATCTTGAGGACGCGGGAGTGATGACTCGAGTTGTCGTCCGCTTCATGACTGCACCCTAAGCTTTTAGAAGTGTTCTTTTAATGGCAAACGCTTTAGTACCATAAATCCATTGGCAGTATTTATGAGATAAATTAGATTTGTTAGACAAAATAATTCGTTTTTTATTGCAAATAGATCACTGCTGATGATTTGTTATGTTATTTACACCGATCTTATGCTATTTACTGTGTTAAATTAATTTAGATATGATTTTCTGTTGGTTGCAAGCATCGAAGCCTTGTTAGATGGACCTATAATATCGTGCAGGTAAGTCAGGTCTGCTGATTTATTATGTTATTTACATCCGTGTTATGCCCCTAGCTCTCTGAAATTAATTTACTTAGGATTTTCTGTTGCTAGCCTAATATATATTGCATTCATCTCAGCTCTGTTATTATGCTACGTGATCTCTGAAATAAATTTTCTTATAACCTTTTCTGTCTTAATACACCTTGATTCGCATTATAGGTCGGTGGTGGTGTATCTCTCTTTATGGGATGAGGCTGCCGGAATGTTTAGGGGTATCATCGCCTCAAGGGACAAAACTAAAACTGTCATGACTGTGAATCCCAAACTCTTTGGAGGTTAGCAAACTAGAACCTCAATTCTATATATTTGTTAAGCAAAGCTTAAAAGTGTGCTTGATCCTAGCATTCATAATGTTTGCTGCCTTTAGTTTATATTACACTCTCAATTTGACAGGAAACCTGTACCTCAACCACACATCCGGAACGAAATTTTACTTCACCTAGAATACAATTTTAAAACATGTGTAAACCAGCTTGTATGTTGCATGTTGCATGTTGCATGTTGCAGATGTCTGTGTAAACCTGTACTTCGTTTTTGAAGCGGATACAATTTGAAAACATGTTGTAAACCAGCTTGTCTGTTTACATTGTTGCAGATGACTGGTGGACCGGTGGTGTTATCGAGGAGCTCCCAGAATGTCGTACCGAGCTTGCTGGGAAAGAGTATGTATTCCAGATTCGTGTTACACCGTACAATTTCACACCCAACCACCGCACCTTCACTGTTGTTGGAATCAGCGATCACGTCCCTCCCGAGGTAATACAATATATGCTTATAATGACCTTTCTATCCAAAACATGTGTTAATAACACACCTGCAGTTATTTCATAGAGTTTCAGCACGAATAAAGCTCAAGCAGTTTCTGGGGAAGGTGGCCATCCTTCTAGTTCTAGGAAGAACAAAGATGTGGGTGAAAGTGATGGACCAAATCCACCAGGCTTTGCAGCCAAAGAAAGTGGCCGCAAGCGTGTGACTAAAGCTGTGACGCTTGCAAACCGTCAACTCAAGTTTCGTTTTCTGTAAATAATTCTCTAAGTTGCTCTGCTTTTTTTTTACTTGAGACATTGTAGTGTTCCTCTGTTTTCAGTTTTTAAGTTTTTGTCGGCCATTAACATCTTAGTTACTTCTCTTAGGAGATAGGTTGATATATTTTAATATTCAAAAAAGGAGTTGACGTTAAATATCATGTGCTATATTAGACATTACAATAACTTAGAAGCTTCAGTATCAGCCAAACAACTAATAAAAAGTAGACTAACTTTAGACAATTAACACCGAGTAAGTCATTGTTATGTTTTTAAAATTAATAAAATCAAAAAAGAGTAAACCAAAATCTAAAACTAAATCTAAAAATAAAAAGTGAAACTAAAAACTAATGCAAAGCAATCATCACCACAAATTTTGGATTACTGATTTTATACCAAAACATATCTCTATAATATTATTTGAGAAGTCATTTTCTTAGGTGTCGCGCTCAGGTTAACTCTCACGTTGGTTGATTACTATGATACCCCTAATGAAGTAAAAATATATTTAAATATTATTATTTCCTTTTTAAAATCTTCCAAATAACAATATAAAATAAAAACAAAATATTTATAAAATTTACAAAATTATTTAAAACGAAAAAATAAGTATATATATAATATGGTTTCATAAAAAAGGAAAATTTACAAAATAGTAATATTTAACTTAAATATATTTTTAAATAACATAAATTATACTTTTAAGTAATAAAATACTTTATATTTATATCTTCTTAGATGGAAAAAATATTTGTATATACTGTGTTTTCATAAAAAATTTCATACAAATAATCTTGATATTAGAAAAAGAAATATTTTTTTCTTTAAAAAAAATAATTTAAACAATAAATATATATTTTCAAAGTAATTATTTTTTGATATATCTATCTATTTTGTTAGATGATTTCATAAAATAATTAATTAACATAAACTGATATATGTTTAATTGACAAAAAAATTATAATTAATATTATTGAAATATTTATTTAGTATATTTATTTCATTATAATATCTTACAATTACAACAAAAAATATAAATTATATTTTACTTATATAATATAATTTCTAAAAAACAATCACATTTTACTGCATATTTTAATAGGTGTTAAAAACAAAAACTAAAAATAAATTTAATAATAAATATCTTTTGATCAAATAACTACAATTCTTTTAAAATATCATAACACTATAATTTAACGAGCTAGATATATTATATTTTAATAGTTAAAATTATCTGTTTTCTTAATAACTCTTTTGATGTTTAATTTTATGTTTTTATGTTTGTGGAATTTAATTAACGATAATCAAAATACTTAAGCAAATCAGAATTCCTTATTTTTAAAATTATTTAAAATAAATTTCGGTTTACCATCCAATCAATCTACGGCAAAAATTATTTAGAATTTATAAAATATTTTAATTATTGTAAATATTGTATGTGTTCATAAGCTTTCAAAAATTTATTATTACTTATGTAATTTAGAATCAGACAATTTAGTTTTTATTTTTTTCGTTCTAAGCACAAAAAATCTTAAAAAACATAGTCTTACTAAGATATACTTATATTTCGTAGATAACAACCAACATAAATGTAAATAAAACATTTAATCAAAAATTTAAGATATTTAAAATAAAAAAAAAAAGATTATAGTTGAATTCATAGAAATAGATAGAATCCAATATATATATATATATATATATATATATATATATATATATATATATATATATATATATCCAAATGATAAAACTGACTAAATATAATATATCTAAAATTATATATAATTAAAATAATATAATATTATTAATACAAATTATACATACAAACTATAAATTAATATAAAATTAAAAGTAAATATCAGTCAACTATTATAATATATTTATTTCTTAAATATGTTTGTCCGTGCATGAGCACGGGAAAATCACCTAGTTTTAAATAAAGACAAAACCTAATTATATAAACTTTTAATCAAAAAAATTTCTGCACTTTTAAGCGCGGGTCAAAATCTAGTATATATTATTATAGGCTCCATTTGCAACTATGCTTCATAGTTAATCTCACCCACGTATGTGTAGTAACATATCACGAAAGCCAGAAATATTAATTAGAAGTCCTTTTTGGTTATCATACAACTAAACACAGAATAATATGAAAGTGTTAATAACCGGAAATATAAACACTAAGACCGATTAAAATAAAGTTATGTTAGAAAAATGGAAAAGGTTAAGAAAACTAACTCTTTAAAAGACATATGATCCCATATCATTATATCATAGATAAAAATAGTAAGACCATCAAATCTACGCCTGAGCAAATTAGGCTTCTATTAACTATTACAATCACTTTAGTGTCAAAAAACCTCTTACAATACCCTCATCAACAGTATGCCTTCCAGCGTAATATGTTGCACATACCTATCATCTTTCTCTCAATTAATCAGTTAAAAACATATGCAAATTCTAAGGCTTTAGACAAGACAAGTAAGTTGAAATGCATAGTGTAATCAGCTATATGTAATGCCTCATACCTCAGTCGATAAGATGCGTAAAAGAAAATCTCTGAAACAAAATACATCTTCCTCAAAATTTATGGATCTATTCAAGCAAAAGACGAACACACTCCAAGCTATGAGTTATGACCCACTCTGCCTGATTGTTTCGAAGGTTGCCTCAATTTCACCGGTTGATTACTGTAACGTCATTCTCGCCTGCAAAGATCTTTACTTGACATCTAAGCTACTACAGTCAACATCCCCGCGCTTGCGCGGGGCTACGCCCTTAGTGTTTTAAAATTCGGGAGTATACGAATACTCGTATACGCACCCACTCCCCCCCCCCCCCCCCCCCCCCCGTTTTCGAAAGGGGGATAGCTGAACTCGTCTTTAGGCAAGCTGCCTACGTATTCTTTTTGGAAATCAAGCCATCTCGTAGTTCTGATCGTTTGTGCGAGTATGTTTACTCGGCTGTCGCAGACTCTTCGATCACTTTAGTCGCTGGATCGGTGTCTTGGTCCGGGTTTTTCTCCTCCAATTGGGTAGAATCGATGAGTGCGGAAGCTTGTTGCTTCTCGACCGTTGCTGGTTTCGGATCATTCTCTGTGGGCGGTGGTGTGTACTTCGCCCGTTTCGGTTTCACGATTGCAACCGCCAATTTCCTTAACTTATGTTCGGCTAAGAAAAAAGATCGCGATTGTCTTTGGCATCCCCAGATTGTTGCGACTCCTGTAGGGGTCGGGCCTAAGTGGTATGTCGACAGCACCGCCTTCATGGAATTTATCCAAGGCGTGCCCATGGTTACGTTGTAGATGGCCGGGAAATCGACAACCGCGAAGTTGACAATTTTCGTCACTTCCTTGGCTGCGACCGGTAGTCGGATCGATCCCACAGTCATAGATTTTTCGTCGGAGAAACCGGTCAATGGCTTCGGTATCGGTTAGACCTCTGATAAATTGATTCCCATGCGTGTCAACGTGTTTGTGGAAGATTACGTTGACAGGGCTTCCAGTATCGACCAAGATTCGAGCGACTTCTAGGTCGCTTATCACTAAGTCAATGACGAGGGGATCAGCATGTGGTTGGTCGATTCCGCCGGTTTCTGCTTTGTCGAAAGAAATCACTCCTCTTGGAGTGTCATCCGATGGTACCTATTAACTCGAGCCAGTTTCGGCCTTTCATTGCTAAGACTTGATAGATGAGACGGTATCGTTGTAATACTGTGATTCGCCAATGATCATGTTGATCTTTCAGCGGTTAGAATCGTTACCCTTCTCATCTTGCCTTCGTCTGCGTTTTTCGCACGATTAGTTCCCTTGGGGCGGAGTTTCCGCTTGTGAGTTCCTATCGTTTTTTGGAGGGCGATCTGAATCGCGGATGAGATCTTTGACGCTGGTTATCTCGGAGATTTCTCCCGCGATTAGTTTTGCGGTGAGTCTGGCGCTGAGGACTTTGCAGTTCACGGTAGAGTGCCCACGGGTTTGGTGAAGATCGCAGAAAGAATTCTCGTCGTAGTTCGGATTTCTTGTCCACATGTTGCCCGTAGTTTGCCCTTGTTCTGATCCGGAGTTAACAGCGTAGTTGTGCGCTCCTTGGAGATCATGTCCCTCGTGATGGACGAATTTGTCGTTACGAGAGTTTTTCTTTTGCTCGGACGCGATATCCTTAGCGGATGCTATTGTAGGCCTATGCTTTTCTGACAGGATTTTAGTCTCCTCTTCGATGGTTACGTAATTGGTAGCTTTGTGGAGCGCGTCCTGGATCGTCCGTCGTTTTTCGAGAGTTATCCACTTTCAAAACTTCGACTTGAACCAGAGCTATTTTCTGAGCGCGTCGATGGCGGCTTTGTCGCTTATTCCGCTAACCCTAGCCATGGCGAGTTTGAATCTGCTCATGAAATCGCGAAGGGATTCGTCTTTCTTCTGCGACAAGCTCCAGAGATCAGCGTCTGAGGTTTCCTGATTTATAAACATCGAGTATTGCTTCAGGAATTCGGAAGAAAGCCGGCGGTAACTCCCGATCGAGTTTCGCTTGAGTTTGGCGAACCATTCGAGCGCTGCTCCTTCTAGGTTTTTGACGAAAAGACGACAGTAGCCTGCGTCTTTTTCGTGATCCTGAGCTTCACCCGTCCCATGGTGATCTTGAAGGCATGTAGATGCGCTTTTGGATCAGTTATCCCGTCGTAGGTTGGCACCTTGAGTTTCTCCGGATCAGGTAACTTGACCTCGGTGATGCGAGCAGTGAAAGGCGTTTTCCGAGATTCGTAAGTAGCCGGTTGATTTCGGGTGCGGCGATGGTAGCGTGGTGAATCTGAGATTTCGCGAATTTCTTTTAGTTCACCAGCAGTTTTCCGACCTCATCAGTGTTTGCTGCGAGTAACCCGTTTCCAGGTTAACCCTTTCGATGCCGTCTCCCTCGGTCTCCTGTTAGCGAGTAGGATATTTTTCCGATTTGTTTAGCACCGCGTCAGGGTTATCTTTTTCGGAGTCTTTCTCCGTCTGGTTTC